TGCCGTTGCACGTACTCGCACGCGTCCCTCGTCCAGCCAGTCTGCGCAGGCCGCTCGCCCGTGTTTGGCTTGTCGAGGTCGTGGCAAGGTGGGACGAGCAGGTCCGCCCAATTCGCCTGAACGCGCCGCGCGTAGACTGGCCGGCTCGTACGGGTCGACAGAGGTAGACAGAGCAACTCACAAGTCTGGGCGAGCCGTGTACGGTGCGAGTGACGGCGAGGTTGAGCCGGGGTGGGAAGATACGGCGGGCGGTGGTCGACTCGATGCGCGCGGCAGGGACAAGCGCTGGGCTGGGTAGTCTGAGCGTGTGCGCGAGCTTGTCGAGCTGGTCCAACTGCCTCAGCGAGCGAGGAGCTGTGAGTTGCAGCAGGCGACGCTCACCGACGCTCTCTTGCCTTGACCACCCCCGTCACTCGGCTGCACGCTCAGTCTGGCGGGATACGCTCACTTGCAGGCTATCTCACTCGATTCGGGCTATCGGACGCGCCGCACTCGACCCGCCCCGTGGCCTGCCCGCTCCTAGCGGTCTGCCCAAGCTCGCTCGCTCACGGCGTCGCTCTCTTGGTCTTTGGAGTGTGGCTGAACGCTCGACTGCTACGCGACTCTAGCTCGGAACGCCAGGACGGCAGGCGGCCAGAAATGCGCAAGGCTCAGGGCTTCGAAAGTCCCTCTCGCCCCGACTTCCTGCTCTTTGCCTCCCTCTACACGCTCGCGCTCGCTCTTTCAGGCGATATTCGACGACAGCCGTCGTGCCAACGTCGCCTCCGAGCGTCACGAGCTACCTTGACGGCGTCAAAACGTTCGCGGCTTCCCCAACGACGACTTCCTGTCGCCCTGCGCCCCGTCACTCGCCTTCTGACTGCTCTTCTGCTCTTCCTTACTTTCTCAACTCAGCCACACCAATCTCCACCATACCGCGTGTGAATGTCGCCGTCACCTCTCACGCTTTCAAGCGGCTGGCGGCTCTCGCGCTCGTGCTCCCCAAAGCTTGCTCGCCCCTCGCCTCGGTCGTTTTAAGACGTCGAAGACGATAGCTCTTGCAGTCAGAGGCTATGCTACACGATGTGTCAAGGATACAGTACGTCAAGAAAGACGCGAACATCAACCATTCGAGCGGACCTGGACCAGCCAAGTCCCGCTACACCTTCTATCTCTCCATGCTCAGCCGAAAGGGTTGCGGAAGCCAGTCGTCCCGATCGTCGGCGCATACCCCTGGAAAGGCGACGCCACCGACTGAGGCCTCGAGACGTCCGTCGGCCCGCCCCAAACGACATCGCCGCCAAAGTTGCTCGCCGTGCTCTGACGGTTATCGAACGCCGGTCTCGCACCGAGCTTGAGAGGTTGGACGGGCGCATAGGCGATCGAGTTCTTGCGCAGTTGGCCGACGGTCGTCGAGGGGGTGTAGCCCGAGAAGGCGTTCGAGGGGTGGAAGTTGTTCGTTGGCGGAGCCTCTGAGAGTTCCGAGTACTCCGACGAGAGCGAGCCTTGACGGTCGTCTGTTGTGCGCTGCAGCGGCGAAGGCTCGAAATCGTCGGCGACTTCGAGCTGGAACGTCGGGACAGGCCGAGCGTGCGACGAGAGGTTGCTCTTGACGCTGCCGCCCTTGCGGTAGTCTAGCTCGTGTACGGTGCTAGCCATCGAGCCTCGCTCGCCGGCGCGGGACGGCGAGGTCCGGTTATGAGCGGTCGATTGCGAGCGGATCGAGGGCGTCCCGCTGGACGTGCGAGTCGCAGACCAGGGGTCGCGGAACCCGCTGCCAACGGTGGCAGACGACGCGGTGCGAGCGTGAGAGCCTGAATACTGCTCAAACGGCGGAGACGCCTCGTGCTGCTGCGCACGCGAAGGTGACGAGCGAGGCGGCGAAGTGGTCGGCCGAGTGTACTGCTGATGCTGCTGCTGCTGCTGCTGGCGTGGCTGCGGCTCGTCGTCATCATCGTAGCCGCGAGTGCTGAAGTGCTGCTCGCGGACTTGGGCGACGACCGGCGGCGAGATGGGCCTATCGCGGAGAGGTGGCGTCGAGCCTTCTGCACGTGTCGGAACGTGCTTTGGTCGCGGTGCGGCCTTTCGGGTAGGGGGAGAGCGGATGCGAGGCGAAGCGGAGACGAGCCCGCCGGTGGCGGCAGGGCGAGGTGAGGAAGCTGGGGGGGTCGAGGGGCGGTCCTCCTTGAGCGAAGGCGAGAGAAGGGCGTGTTGAGGCGCCTTGACGCCGGGGTAGAGGGGGAACGTTTCCATGCCGAGCGACTCGACGAAGCCTTCTGGCAAGATCGGCGCCGAGATGGTTGGCGGCTTCTTCGAGCGGCCGATCAACTTGAACGTCGTTTTGCGCTGGACGCGAGGACGGTCTTCCCGCGCGCCTTTGACGCCGGACGAAGCGAGAGCTGGCATGGGAGCTGAGGGAGTAGGAATGGCGGCACCGATGGTCTTCTTCTTGATGCGCGCAGGGTCGACTGTGTGGATGGGCTGCTCGTGTAGGGGAGGCGAGGAGCGGGCCGTTGCTTGGGTCTGGCGAAGCGCCGACTCGCACGCGGAACCGAAGTCGACGCCGTTGGTCGGCGTCAGCGGGCCAGTCGACGAGCCGGAGGTCTCGGAGGACTGCCTGTGCTGGTCGTGGGACGAGTGCTGCTGCGACTCCTCGCCGTCATCGTTGTCGAATCGCAAATCCTCCTCGTAGCCGCTGACGGGCGGAGCGGGGCTGAATGCGTAGTCGCGGACCCAGCCGGTTTCGCGGTCGTCGGCGCCACGTCCTCCGCCACCGTACAACCCGCTCTTTCCTCGCTCGTCCCACGGCGTGTCGGACTGGACATGCGACTCGTACGGCTCAAGGTCTTCCTGGCGAGTCCTGCCTGCAGCCGTTCCGCGAAGGTCTTCGCCGGACCCGTCCTCCTCGTCTTCCTCGTCCTCCGCATACATGTCGACGTATGCGTCAAGGACGCTGTCGATCCGGTTCGACTTGTCGTTGCGAGCGTCAAACGAAGGCACGAACAGCTGTCCGGCGTTGTTGCGTGCGATCGGAACATTGTCCTGAGAACGGTGGGAAATGAGCTCTCAGGTCGCGCATGCAGTGGGGCGGGTGAGAGGGGCGCACCTGCTTGTACTCGTAGCCTTTGTCGTGGCAGTGCGCTTGGTAGTACGGCTGCTGGTCGTGCAACTCGTATTGGACCGCGAGCGAATCGCCGAAGCCGCCGGCCTCTATCCCCTTGTTCGATCCGAGTTTGTACGACCCAAAGGACTGCTGGTGGTTGGCTGCGAAGGGGTCCTTGAAGCCGTTGTACTGCTGAGCGACGGCTGCCATGGGCGATGAATGACGAGTGAGAGTCGGCGAGGCGAAGGGAAGGGGAAGGGAACAATCGCTGTTCGAAGGCCGAGGCGGAACCTGTCCGGCTCAAGGGTGTGCAGTCGCGAGTTTCGGGTGTCTAGCAGCGCCTGGCTGGGACGTCTCGAGGGCGTTGGAGGAGCGAAGCGATGACAAGGGTGAGAGGCAAGCGTGAACGCCTCGCGCAGGCTGGACGGGCTTTAAGCAGGCGCTACTCGTGGGTAAGATCCGCAGTGACGCCCGCTCGCGTGGTCCCCGAGGCGGTATCGACCACAAAGCGTCGCAGAGCTGGCCGACGAGCGAGGCGTTTCGCGCGCGCGGGTTGCCTGATGCAGGCGTGGAACACGAACAAGCATAATTCGCCCAGGGTCTCGAAACAAGCAGCGGGCGTCGAAGTGGCAGGACGCGAATTCGCCGGGAGAGGAAGGAGGCGGTCGTCGCGGAGAACGACCGCTACGTGTTGCTGTACTGCCGAGAAGTCGGACAAGGACGAAGGGCGCTACGAGAGAACACGGGCGAAGAGCGGGCATTGAACAAGCGGTCGTTGCAAAGCGGGATAGAGCATCGTAGCGAAACACGCGAACAACGGGAATTAGGCAGCGAGGAGGTATACTTCAAAGTGTGTAAGCGAGAGATATGCGAGAAGAGAGAAAGAACCAAAAGCGATGGCGACGACCAGGCGAGCCTAGATGGCCTGCGAGTCGTCCCAGTCCTCGCCCGGCGGCGCGCGGTGAACGTCGACCTTGGCCTTCTCGTTCATGTACGCGCCCTCGGCCGAGATGTCGACACCGTGCGCCTGGGACGCCTCGAGCTCGTCGCGGTACAGGCCCTGCGGGTCCTGCGGGATCCAGACCGTGTCGTAGTCCTTGTACATCGCGGGGTGGTCGAACGCGTTCTGGTCGAGGTGCTCGTCGCCGGGGAGCGTGCCCGTGTCGTCGTTTGTCTCGACGGTGCGGAGAGGCCTCTTGTGCTCATCGAAGGAAGCGCCGGCGGGAGGCGGGAAGGCTGTGCGGACAGGAGCGATCAGCGAGACGTCCGCATGTATTTGAGCAAGTCCTCCACGCACTCGACTCGTCCTTCTCCTTGGTCGTCGTCTCGCTCTGAGTCGGCGCGAGCTGCGACGTCTGGCCGGCCTCGCGGCCCGCGTTGTGGTGAGCGGGGAAGCCGTCGGGGAAGCCTTGAGTGGCAGCGATCTTGGGCGCAACCGAGAGCGGGAGGAACTTGACGAGGGGCTGGTATCCCGAATTGAGGACGATGTGGTAGAGCACGGTGATGACGATCAGAACGACCATGATGGCGCCCTCGGGGATGGCCGACTGCTTGCCTTTGGCGTCCTGGGCGAGGAAGAAGAGACCGCACATGCAGATCTGCTCGATGTACAGGCCGACAAAGATGTGGCCGAGCGCCTTCGGGTAGAAGAGGCCGCCGGTCTCGGTTGCGGGCGGCGTGTCGATGACGAGGAGGAAGAGGTACTGCGCGACCCGACGGTGTAAGCTTGAAGTCGGCGGTAGGAGGCGAGACTGTGCTCACCTTGTACACGAACCAGAAAAGCGCGAAGGCGACCAGGGCGAAGCCGCAGACGAGCGGGGCGATGACCGAGTAGGTCAAGCCAATCACGGTGAGGAGGGTCATCGAGGGCCACTGTGCGCGACTTTAGAATCAGGAGATGCGCAAGACGGTACGGAAAGGATTGTTGACGCACGAGAGTTCCCCAGGCGACGGTCGAGGAGTTGTACTTGATGCCGAAGACGGAGCGCGGAGTCGAGCCAAGAAGGATGAGCTTGACGTAGTAGACGATAAGCTTGACGATCTGAAGGAGCGATCCCGCAGCGCCAGCGAACGAAGTCGTGACAAAGTAAGTGAGGAAGAAAGTAGAGGCGGCGGGGAGCTGTGTCGCGAGGAGGGTGACGGCGCTCGAGGGGTTCTTGGCGATGGCCGGGATGGCCTTGACGAGACCCGAGGCGAGGGTGACGATCAAGAATCCGTGGATGACCTGGAAGATGAAGAGGCGGGTCATGAGCGAGAGCTCGATGCCGGTCTTGAGCGGGATGCCCTCAAAGCGCGCGAAGACTGTGCGAGATAGGGGACGTCAGCGAGGTCGTAATGGACGGAGAGGAAGTCGACTTACGGCGCAGGATGATCGGGAGGAGCATGAAGAGGACGGCGAGCGCAATGGGCGGGAGGGCACCCTGGATGATACCGTTGACGGCTGCGCGAGAGCTGGTGAGTTCGTGATGTGGGCCGTGAGCAAGGAAAGTGTGACGCACGAACAGGAAGCTTGCAGAGCCAGGCGAGCCAAGGAGCGCTGATGCAGAGCGCCGAGACGTTCGAGATCAAGCCGACGAAGGCGACTGCGCCGGGATGAGCGTCAGTCCGATGCCTGCGCCTCGAGGAAAAAGGTAGCGTACCAGGGAAAGACCAGAGGATGATGAGGCCGAGCGTGGCAGCCCACGAGGCGGCGTAACGAGCGCGCTGCTCGTACGGCTTGATGCGGAGGTTGCCCCAGATGACGTCCTCCTGGCCAACCTCGAGGAAGCGGTACGACATGCGGAGAGGAGCGTGGTGGGCGAGGCACCTGCGTGACGGGAGAGGTCAGTCTCGAGAAGAAGGCAGGTGGTGCGAGGAATCCGCGACTCACTGAGCGAACATGTGCGCGGCGATCTGCGTGTGGAACTGGATGAAGACGGCCGACCTCGCAGGGTACTTGGTGCTGCCCTCGTTTCCGCCCAGCAACTCACGCTCCGTCTCGAGCTCCCTGTTCGTCGTCTCGATCTCCTCCCTCGCCCACTCGATCGAGTCGACCTTTTTCCCCCAAAGCCCGAGCGGACCAAGCTTGTGGGTCGGACGCTTCTTCTGCGGCACGTAGCGGTAGACTTCGCTCTTGCTCGCCTCGGGGTCCGAGGCGGGCGCGTCGAGGTGCTTCTTCTTGTTCTTGGCAATCTGCTTCGTCGCGAGCTTGAGTAGCTTCGTCTCGGCGCCCTCGAGCTTCTTGACGGCCTTCTCACGGCGGTCGTACAGGTCCGGCAAATCCTTCAAGTCGCTGTGGGCACAGATCGCGTCAGTCGAACCCTCTGATCCGCACAATGACACCCGTACGCACCGAGCGAACCAGATGCGCTTGGCACCTCCGGGCAAGACGTTGCAGAAACGCTGCATGTTGCTCTGGTTGAGGAGTTCCTCCGGGACGCCCGTGACAAGCACCGTCTTCGACTGAGCGAGGCGCGTGTGTTCAGGGCTCATGAGGAAGTCCTGGCGGAGCTGGATGAACTTGGCATATTCGCGGCGGATGAGGTAGAAGACCCAGAAGGTGAGGATCCAGACGAGGATGAGGTGGGCGGCGTAGCGAGGCTGTTGCGAGAGACCGACGTTGCCAAAGGTGAAACGGGTGATGCCGGTGTTGGTACCCCTCGAGCCGGCGGCGTCGACGGGCAGGAGGATGACCCAGGTGAGGATCATGCTGCGTGACGAGGTGTCAGCTCGAAGCAGTTCCTTCGAGCGGTGTGCAAGAGATCGTGTACGCACAACGGAGCAAAGATCTCCATCATGAGGAACAAGAAGCGGACGAAGATGTAGGCATCGAGGCCATTCTTCTGGAGGATCGTGTTGGCCGGCGTGCGGATGACATAGGGTATCCAGCCGAGGAAGGAATGGGGCAGGGGGTCGACGCGCTTGCTGTGGGCGGGCAGGAGGGTCAGCACAACCGTGATAGCGAAGTCTGGCGCGTGAAACCCGCAGCCGGCAGGGTTGAGCGACGAACTTGGGAGGAACGCGGTAAGAGCGGGGGCTGTAGATCTGGCGGAAGCGGTTCTTGAGGATGATGAAGGCGGCGACCTGGACGCGGGCAAAGACAATGGCGAGCAACGCGACGATCGCAAGGAGGATGAGGAGGGGGACAGTGTCGAAAGGTCAGCTCTGCTCGACTGGCGCATTCGCGACGAACGATTCCCACTACGCACCTCTGCACCCAGCACGATCAAGCCCGTCACGAGCGCGGTGATAAAGGTCTGCGTCTGTTGTTGGCCGTCCAGCCCACCCGCGAGAATTGGCATTAGCGCGGGTCTCTTCCTGCGCAAGATGAGGGCGTCGCAGGACCCGCTGCGCTGTTCAGAGACGCACCGACTTGTTTGCTGTGCGAGTGCATCGAGTGTCAGCGTCCTACGTGAGGTGTGGGAGGCACTTGACCCCGTCGAGCCTCGTCTGGAGCCCTGGGGACTCTGCGGTCGACGGAGTCCACAGACTGAGCTGTGGGATGTACTCACTGACTTGGTCGTTCGACAGCGACCCTGGGGACGCCATGTTAGCCTTGCTGGTCGAGTCGAGTGCGCGGCGAGAGAGAAGGACGTCAAGTGCGAGCAAGCGGGGAGGAAAGGGTCGAGGCACGCATTTAAAACAGAATTGACAATCTTCTAGCCTCGACCCACGTCATCCAACTCGAGCTGCGCTTTTCCTCTGCTTTGCACTCAGCCTCTGCTTTGCACTGCTTTGCACTCAGCTGCTTCGCTGAGTGCAAAGCAGCTGAGT